TCTCTGCATTGAAGCCAATCCAGCATAAAGCATAAACCAGGAAAAAGTGAGCTTTGTTAGGCCTGATGCATCAGAGCAACTTGTAGACATAAATGGCATTTTAGGTTCTTTTGGAGGCTCCATGGAAGTTCTTGCATCATTTAACTGGTTTGTTAACTCCAAATAACTGTGTTGGTTCCTTTTTGTGTATTACTTGTACCACAGATATGTCATGGTGATACTTTTGTGCCAGCAGTAACTTCAGTGTTTGTGGGGTTTGGTTGTTTTTTGGTTGATTGGTTTTTAGCGTAGTAAAATTTAATCAACTGAAAAGTTGATTTTTAATTACTTGGATTTGAAAACCAGTTAATTCAAAACACCAAAGCAAACCCTGGGAGTTCTCATAGCAGGCTGGGATTGTTCTGTCTCAATTACATGGATAAAGGAAGGTGGTCATGGTTTTGCAGATTATTTCAGGGGGAGTGGTAGGACTGTGAGGCTCAGAATTGAGCCAGAGGTTATTGGGGTCAAAGGTCTTTCTGCAAACCATGAGAGTTTTGGGAAGGGAGCCTGGAAAATTAATAAAGAGAACATGGCCATTATCTCAAATCTATGAGACTTGCAATATCTCCTGCAGTAAATGGGAAAGAACAATATTATTTGTTTTCTGGGCAAACACCAGTTTCAGCCTCAATACGATAAACCTGCACATTAGTTCAAAATGCCATCACTTTTTAAGTGTTTGTCCTCTGATTGAAAAAATGTCTTTCCTAGCAGTGTTGCAAGGTGAGGGGAGTTCAAACTGGCCAGATTTCCTTACCTCAAATGTCCATTTAATGGCTTAAATTGGGTCTACTCAAGGTTACATAGGAAAGCCACAGATTCAAACTCACACAGCCCAAGTGATTTAGGAGAATGGTTCCTGCATGGAGGGAGAAGTGGCTTTTCAATCAGGTTAAATGAACAGTGACACTGGAACATGGACCTGTTTCACATCTCCTGTTTGCTTTTCCTACCTTGAGTGAGCCACTTCTGTTCCCTGAAGCAGCTGAAAAGCCAAGAGAAGATATATAGGAAGATAAATTAATTCAATATTTGGACTCTACTATGAGGCACAAGTGGATGATGTGATGTTAAGCACTTCCACCTCTCCTTCCCTGTTTTCCACAGGTTTTAGTCTATGTTTTTCAGTAAGGTGACTGTATGGTAAAACACACACAGGGAGGTTTGTGTCTAGGTTATGTTTGCTTGAGTAAAAGTCCATATGCAGCAGGAAACTGGTTCTCTTGGCTGGTTATACCTAAAAGATATAGCTATAGGTTGGTTGGTTTGTTTTGGGGCATTTATTTGTTTGAGTGTTGTTTTGGTTTTTTGGTTGTTTTTTTGTTTTTGTTGGTTTGGGGTTTTTGCATGAGCTGCATTGCTTTTGCCACCCTGGTCCACCAAATGATTTGGTGCCAGCTTTAGAATAGGGTGTCCTGTCAGGAAAAGAACAGAACAGAAGGTACCACTGTTTCTATGTGACGGTTTACCTGGTGATTTTATAACTCTTTTCCATTCTAAATGATTCTGTGATTTTATTCTTGAATGTAAGAGTAAGGTTTCCTTCAATTTTTTCCTTCTCCCCTTCTTCTCCTTTATGAAGTCTGCTTTCAGAAGGGTAATTTTGCAGATGGAGAGAGCTGAGTGTAGATCCTGCACTGTTAACCTCAGACCTGTAAACATCTGTCAGCCACTCCATCTACTTTCCTCTAGTAAAAATCAGTTTTTAAACATGGGGATGCCTTCAATTTTTCCTTCTTTGTAATGAAGATGTGCTTCCAAAGGTTTTCTGTAATTCTGAGGCTTGGTAACTTAAAAATGAAAGGTGATATTCTCAAGTAAAGCATATGCCTTGAGAAAAGGAACAGAAGTCTTTCCACTCCTCCAGCTCCATACATTCCCTTTCATGCTGTTGAGTTCATTATAATAAACAGTGATAATTAAGTGATATTAAGCACAGCTTAATATCACACCATAATTTTGTGCTATAGACTTGAAATTAAGGCTTGTGAAATTTTCCCTCTCTCTGCACTTTTACCTTTTCTGACTGTAAGCACTATTAGAATATCTTTTTTCAATGTAGGTCACATAATGTGATCAGATACTGATCATTCTCTTTGGACCTCTCCAGTTGCTTTCACAAAGTGATTTCACACAAACCAACAGTGGACAGGGATAACCTAAGAATGCCTTTAAATAAATATATTTCCATAAAAGCCTTGATAAACTCATATCCTCTCTTGTCAAGGTTTCCATTACAATTTATTTATTGCTAGAGTCTCAGGTCTAAGGAAGCAATACTTTATTCTCACCTCTTGGAAGAAGTTTTTAAATCAATACAAAATTTTGATAACAATATTTTTTTAGAACTCAAGTTCGCAAAAATTATTATTTTTTTTCAGGTTCCTGGAATTGGCAAAGAGACAGATTTTTCTCCATCCCTGGATTGAAACAAGGGACTTTTTTCAAGCAGTTCTGCTGTAGAAATATATAATTATGTGTGGGTAGAACTTGGCGTGGATCTCTTCCCCTTTAGGGATTTGAAGAAAACAAGCCTTTTCAAATACCCTTAATAACATACAGGTAAATAATGAGTTCAGACCAAATAACTGCTAAATATGAGAAAAACAGCATATTTCTACTCCTACTTCAAGCCAGAAAAAGATCAGTGATTACCCATATCCTGACAGTGATATTTTACACAGACCTCTCCACTGTTTTCAAGTGGGAGATCAGTGCCTAGGCTGATGGCAGGATGTAGACCTTATAAAGTATTTCCTGCTGAAAAGAGCACTTGGGATTATTGCATAGGCTAAAATGTCATTTAATAAGTTGTATTATGAAAGGTGGACTCCTACACACACAGAACTAAGTGTAAACTGACATAAGAGTCCTGATCTAGCAGAAAAAAAGACACCCTAATCAGGCATATCCCCTGATCAGTAAGAAATCTCACTAAATTCTGGTGAGATCTTTATATAAACAGAGTTTGTGGCAACAAGGACTTGGTTCAAAAGGGCAGTACCTTAACAGTCAAGCCTCATTTGTTTATTATCCTGTGGGCATCCCAACTATGAAGACAAGGAAGCTGGGGCTCTTCAGCCTGGAGGTGAGAAGGTTGTGTGGAGACCTCACAGCACCTTCCAGTGTCTGAAGGGGCTACAGGGAAGCTGGAGAGGCTCTTCATCAGAACTATAGTGACAGGACAAAGGCTTCAAGATGAAAAAAGGGGAAATTGAGGTTACATATGTGGGTTAAATTCTTCCCTGTGAGGGGGAAGAAACCTGTGGCACAGGTTTCCCAGGTGTGCTGTGGCTGCCCCATCCTGGAAGTGTCCAAGGCCAGGTTGGATGGGGTTTTTAGCAACCTGGTCTAGTTGAATATGTTCTCACTCATAGCAAAGATACTTACCTAGACAACATTTACAAGAGCTCTTCTCACTCAAATATTCTGTATTTTGATGTAACACCATATGTTAGTAATTTCCCGTTATTAATTCCTAGTAGTAATTATTAATTCCTAGTTGGTAATTCATAGTAATAACCTTCAGTTTGGAAGATGGCACTAAATTTAGCTTTTGCTGTTTTAAAACTTTTCCTTTTACTAAGCTGTAAATCTTTTTTAATTTCTCCATTCTGTTGTAGTAGCAGTAGATGTAAGCTTTGGGTTTGTTTTTTTTTTTCCTGGCATGTATTGAGATGTTCTATATATTAATAATTGTACCCAGTCTGTGGGGAGAACAGAGAAAGGATGATTTTCCCGTTTCCATTCTCTTTTCCTCCTTCAAGCCTGTGGCAACAGCTTCTGGGAATTCTGAATTCCCTTTGGATGTTAAGGAATGCCTGTTCTTTTTGCTTTGTCTGCTGTGTCTCTTCAGTGTGGTCCCGCACCATGTTCCTTTCAATGGTTTGTGGGAGTATTTATGTCAAAGCAAACTCCCAGATTGGCCTAAATTCATTAGGAACATTATCCTCCCCAGTCATTATCAAATTAAGCTCTGTGCTGCAGCTTTCAGAATTACTTTGTACATCTTCTTTGTAGCCACAGTGTCCTCTGACCCAGTAATTCACATTTCATCACGCAAATTGGTCGAGTACCAGTAACCTTTTATTGTGTGAACACAAAGAACTATGCCTGAGATAAATTTGGCCTAGTAAGGCCATAAAACTCCCACAATATTTGTGTATAAAGGAGATTTATACATTTCTTAAGTGTTTTGCCAAGAAAAACCCGCAGCAAAGACAGGCAGACTAAAGCAATAAGCAGGAAATGTATCATTAGAGTTATGGAAGAGGCTGTTCCCTGCATCAAGGGCAGAGGGACATGTTAGGGACTAAACTGAGGGGCAGTCACAGTTCCCACCAAATAAGGACAACTAAATCTGCTTAGAAGAGTCGCTGTTGGTCAGTTTGTACATTTTGAGTAAACTTGGGATTTGTGGGAAACTTATTAAAGAAGTAAGGTTTGTAGATTCTGAGAAAAGAAACTATTTATTCCTTCCTTATCCCAACAGTGGCGAACCCTCCTTCCCTGTGCACATCCCCTTTGTTTTTACCAAGACAAAACAGAGCAATTTTATGGTGGCAAAGAGGCAGAATAAGCCTTTACAGGGGGATGGAGGAATTAATGAGCAGAGAATCAGGGCATGAATGGTGAAGCTTATAGATCTGCTTGTGTCCATCAAGTAAAATTATTTACTTCATTAGGAATTGCTTGCTCTGCATGATTGTCAGGGATTCTTGGGAAAAACAACCACTGAGGAGTTGGCTTCCTGCTCCAAAGGAAGAGATATTGCATTTCTTCCTTTTCATGAAGCTGCAAATGCTTTAGGACAGTGATGTAATGCTGGCGGGCTGTGTGGAGAATGTATTCCTGCTTGTGCACCCACACACTGAACAGGCAAAGATTCAGCAGCATGGCTTCACCATAGTGTGAATTTAAAAATTGGAATTAAATTTGGGTTAAATGGGGAAGTTGATGAGTACATGCAGCAACAGCTCCTAGATTTGGGAGCTACTGAGGCCCCTGTGTCCTGCAGGAAGGCTGACTGTTACCCAGGTGTGGATTTCCCTCTCCTATAAAAGGTAGGCAGCTTTTCTTCTATGATGTAGCAGCAGCTCTCTCTATCTCAAGGTTTCACTAGTCCAGGGCTCCAAGAGTGGTTCCATCAACAGAACATTTGCCATGTGCAAGAAGGGCTTGGACAATGCTCTGAGGATCTGGGTGGGATTCCTGGGGTGTCCTGTTCAGGGTCAGGAGCTGGATCAGATGACCTTTGTGCATCCCTTCCAGCTCAGGGTAGTCTCTGATTCTGTGTAAATATCCTCGTTCCTCCTCCAGCTTCCTCCCCATTTCTTCCTCTGCAGTGTCCTGGCAGAAGGCCCTGGCTCAGGTTGGAAAATCCAAGTGCTTTGTGGTTGTCACCATCTTTCCTTTCCAAGTAGGCCCTGGCACAGAGGGAACCTGGCCCTGCCACAGCACAGCACCAAAGGGCAAAACCAAAATTTGCAGCATTTATTCCCACCTCTGCTGCTTTTCTAAACAAGATCTTCTAATGGATCAATGATATTTCCATTTTAGCCTATATATTGCACCCACTTACTGCAACATTAGGTTAATTTTTTCACAGACTGTACTAGAAAACACAGGTGCCCATAATATGTTGATGAACTTCTTTGTGCATAGCTATATTTAACACAGGATTTCTTGCATTTAATATACTCTTTTTTCTGTTCCATGTCTTTAAGGACAAACTCAAGTATTTGAGTATTAGTTAGCATTAGGTACAAAAAGCTCATCAAGAATAAGCCCACATTTCTCTGGAGATGACCTGATTTATTTTGGGGCTGATTTATTCCTGGGAAAGACTACAGGCAAAATCTTCACAACTCCAGTCCTGTAGCTGTTTTTACAAAAATACAATTGCTTGCAGGAAAAAGATTTCTTAGGACTAAAAGCCATTAAAGCATTTACTTCAGTAACTCTATAAACACTACCCAAATAGAAATAAAAAATCATCTATAAAATTATGACACTTCACTAAAGATCAAGAGCTAAGTAAACAACTTGTTAGGTGACATCTCCCAGATTAATGATTGGTAATAAACGGAGGGAAAAAAGTTTAGAAGTTTACAGCTCCTGGATGTTTTCCAAGTAATTTTCCTTTTACACATGCTAAGTAGAGGCAGATTCACTGGTTTAATATCTGCTGGTGACTCTGTGTTTAAATTGGAACTGTCTACATAATCTAGAGCAAAATGGTTGTTCTGTCAGGCAAACTTACTTTGGAATGGCAACAAATCTGAAAGGTCTGTGCTGGAAACTTCAAGAAAGGTTTGCTTTATCTCAGCATCAGTTACAGCAAAGTGTTCCTGATTTGCAGGCAAATGTTATTAAATGTTGGGTTAGTGGACTTGGACTTGTTGTCATCTCTTTTTTTTTATAGTGAATGCCGTAGTGTGGATTGTGAAAAGAAAGGACATCTTCCCTATTATTGCATTAAGTTTCTGATTTACCATCTAATTTTATTACCAAAAGCTCTGTCTCTAGGCTAATAGTAATGTAAATGCTTGTCATTTCTGTGCAGTAAAAGCTGAAGGCAGATAATTATTCCCTGTTAAGAATATTCTTTCTAGTCTTTGGTTTAGGATCACAGGGTAATTGTGACATTATTTTACAAAAGCAGGAAATCAAACTTTGTATAAAGATACCTGTTCTGATCACAGCTCTAGGCATTTCAATTTTTTGAACTCTGACATGGGATTCTGCTGCCTCTCTGAAAATGTTTATAAGTAAATAAGAGACCAACTTCCAATGTAGTGCTGTGAGCAATACACTAGTTTAATATTTCTAGGGTGAAGTGGATAAGAACTTCTGGAGAAGTTACTGTTTATTATACATCCAGAAAAAAAAAGAATCAACAATACCAGACCTTATTTTATCCTCTAGCATTTTACACCCTGGGACCAATATCCCTAAAAATTGCATATTGGCACCATTCCCCTGGCTCTGGAGAGTGACAGCAGCTGAGATTCTGGCAGCACTCACCAATTGTACATTGTATTTCCAGTGGCACGTTATCCAGTGCTGGGTTTTTATCGCTTCTGAGGAATCCCTTTGTACACGGAGCAGAGGGAACACTCCTCCCAACGTGGAAATAAACAAGAAGCACAGAGTGCTTGCTGCCAGTCACTGTAAATAGTTGCCATAGGTTTATTTTCTCCCCAGATCTGCTGGTTGCTAGAAGACACGACGCTTTATGTGCAGGAGAGCAGACACCGTGTCGCCATTGCGCTGAGTACGTGAGCAACGAAGCAACTTATTTTTAACATCAAAACAATGTGCTAAATTTAAACACAAGCACCAAGGGGATACAGATTTAGCCATATTAAAATGCTGCAGATGATCTCGAGATGACCACAGAACTCATTTTTTTGTTGTGTTGAGCACAATTATGCTGGCAAGTAAAGGTTCATGAGAAAGTCACTGAAGAAAAATAGAAAACCCTCTGATTTTTTATGTTTCCAGCTAATTATAAGCTTTAAAGCATGAACATAAGAGAATCCTGAACAAGATTGGTTTAATTAATTTGAATGTGATTTTTAGTTGTCTGGCTTGGTACTACCCCAGGATTTAATAATGCTGATTTTGTGGTTGAGATGGTATTTCAAGCTTATTTATGTTAAGATTGGCTTCTTTCCCATCATGCCCCAGGCTTTTGATCATGATCATATCTTGGGCCAAAGAAAATGGATGATGCCTTCTTTTGGGATAGGTTCCAGAAAAATTAACCCCTTTTAGCCTGAATAAAAAATCTGATTAAAAATGTCATTCAACTTTCCATTGTTTATGAAGCAAACTTTTTATTTCAATTTGTTAACTCTGCTGGGATAAGAAGATAATTAAAACAAGAATCATCCTAAGAGGGAAAAACCAAAGGCCTTAAGGATTTGGCTTTGTTGTTATTTTTGTTGTTGCTGTTGTATTGTAAATTCACAAAAAAAGACTGTGAGATATTGTACTGAACAACAGCTGGAAGTTTGCAGGACTTCACAGAAAGTTTTTAAAGACTTTGATCATCTTTAATATGATTTGAAAAGCTTTAAAGGTTTTTTTTTTAATGGTAGTGGTATTATTAAGGTTGTTGTGATAGTTTTTGGAAATATTTTTCAAAACTATGAATCACAATGAATTTAGAACTCAAGTGTCATTTTGAGTAAAATGTAACATTTTCTTCACTTGATGGATAATTTATGCTTTTGACTTGATTATATAAAATGAGGCTGAATTATAAATCCTCATTATCTTTACTGCAATTTTCAACATTTTTTTAAAGAGGTAAAACTATGGCTTTTATTTAAAATTTTAACTTAAGTTTTGAGTAAAATGATTGAGCATCTTTATAAAGAGAGTTTCCTTCTCAGTTTCATTGCCTTTTCATCAAATAAGATTTCTATAATTGTCAAAGCATTCCTAAAACTGGCAGCAGATAGGAAATGTTTGAAGGAAGACACAGGTTATGGAAGTATCCTTTTTATACACATCTGTGATTTTAGTTTTAATCTTTTTATTTAGAACATATGACATAATTTTTTCCTGTTTATAATAACAGAATTTCCAAATGGAATTATGTACAGCATTTTTTTAAAATTAGGAGTGAGTTTAAGACTCCTAGAACCACACTTGCAGAATTGAACGTTTGGTGGGTTCATGTTTTGTATTTTAACAAATGCTGCCTTTTCTGTAATCATTATTTCACTCCAACACCTTTTCCCCTAATCTCACATTCCTGACTGATAATTAGTTGCATACAAAGTATTTTAAATATATATTATATTTAAATAAATATATTGTTTGGCACTCCAGACTGTAAAGTGACAGCATCCATCTACTGAAAGTCTTTTGGAATATTTTTCTCTGCCAAGGGTCTCAGTGACCCACATGCACTGAATGATCAGCTCTCCAAGATTGAGACTTCCTCAGGTGAACTCTGAAGTATCAAACCTGTGCAATTAATTTGAAGTTCCAGGAGAAGATGGCCACTTCCCTTGCTATTTCCTGGTCCATTAAATTCCTGTCTATGGAGCTCACCTGTCCTCTTGGTGGAGACTGAGATGAGGAGAGAGAAATAAATATGTGGAACCCACCACTTACACTAAAGATTCCGTGATCTGTAGACATGATTTTTTTTCCTGTTTATTAAGTGCTTTCTTAGAGCTCTCAGCTCTAAAGTATGTTGAGATCAGTGAATTGTACTCATTTCTGACTGGTGATGGGTACAACACAAAGGCTTAACTGGGTTTCTTGAAACCTGGAATTTTAAATGAAGAATGAGGGACAGTAGTCCAGAAGTGTAGAAAAGTCAATCCAAATTCCCAAACCCAAAGAGGACCATATTTACCTGCTTACACCACTGTCCTGTTGCTGTTCATGTGAAGTCATTTGAGAGAAATGGTCTTTGTCTTCAGTCCTACAGAACTGTTAACATTGGGCACCATCTAACAATAGGATGCGTAGACAGTGCTTATTTCTGGCTTTCAGGTCTCCTCACCCAGGGGACCCATCTTTGTTCTTTTTGGGAAGGAATTTAGTCATCAAAAATAATTCTAATAATGAGAAGTTATTTGGAGAATATCCACCAGCTTGTTTAGTTTTCTTGTTAGCAGATCAAAGAAAACTTATTTAATTTTTATATAACATTCATGTATGCATACTTCCTTTCTCAACAAAAACAGTCACTTTACCTTGCCATAGTTTCTATTTGTTTTGTTTTATTTTAATACTATTGTGTTTAAGAGCCTGTTGTTCCAGCTGTGATTTCTAAATCTGCTCTGGTTACCCAGTCTGTCCTGCCATTAACATGAAATTGTTTCTAATCTTGACTTCTAAGCTTGGCTGATGTACCAACATCAGTTTTGATATTTGAATGACCAATATAATTTTGATGGTCAGATCTGTTTCAAACCTCCTTGTGATGAGTGGGATTTTTGCCCCAGTTTGCAAATTTCTTTTGGTTATGTTCCTAAGTTCTAGGAAGTGCTTAAAACTTAAGTGATACACAAACTCTCCTGTTGTTTTTGTGGACACTTGAATTTAACAGTACTAGAACTACATCTAGTAGTTAAGATTTTAAATCTTAAAATGTACATTTTTACTTACCCTGGCTCATTTAAAGAGCTGGGACCACTCAGGAAGACCCTTTTTTAAAATCTCTTCTTATCCCATCAGAGTTAACAAATTTGAATTAAAAGTTTCATTCATGAACATGAAAAAAAAAAACCAACCAAAACCAACAACAGCTACTCTTCAGAATATTTTCTAAAGATTATGATGTTCAATTTGTGCATGCTCTTTTTCACTGCTTTCCTTTAAGGCCTGGGCTCTTCCCCATGTTCTGCCTCATGAATTTATATTTAAATATTTATATTTCATTTAAAAATGCTGTTCTGAATCTGTTACAATGGAAAGCAATGCACCTATGAATAATGAAAACCAGATATCCTGTTCATCACTGGACACTGTGTTTTACAAAGCACAGAGAAATCTCAGGCCCCTTGTGATAAAAGGCTGAATCACAACAAAATGTAAAAGTGGAAATGCATACTTCAAGTCAACATAGCATGATCAGATTATTTGAATATTATGCACCATTAGTTTTTATTCAATATAAGTATTTGCTGTGTTTGAGAAATTCCTAATGAGTTGGGATGTGCTGAAAATGCTGCCAAAATTATATTTCTTGCAGTATTGCTGTCCTTCCTGTGCTAACATGTTAGAAATGAGCAACCACTGGGAAATTATGAAAAACATTATTCTCCTCCTGGGCCAAATCCTTCACCAAGACTGTTCAGCCATGCAGGAAAAACAGTCAAATAAAACACACAAAACCACATCCTTCAGGTTATGGATGCTTGCACAATCTGATCTATATTGATGAATTTTTTTGAGGTTCAGTTGTCATCAAGAAAAAGCCAAAATATTGTGTGCAGGGAACACATGATCAGTTGTTTAGGAGAGGTCTGCCACTCATCATCAAGTTGTTGTCTGGTTGTCTCAGTGAGTATAAGTAACTTTCAATTCTATTGTACCATGGTGGAATAATTTAGTAAATTCACACTGGCTGTGATAATGCAGATTTCACTTTGTGTTTTTTCTATCTGAAGCAGAGGAATCTCCATGAACTCCCAATGAAATCCTTCTTTTGAATTAGGGGAACAAGAAGCTTGCAGGGATTGAAGTTTTACAGATCTGAAAGATCGGAAAGAGGGAAAGCAGAGCAGAGCTCTCAGAGATATAGGAGTTCAAGGCAAAGGTGCTTTTTTTGAGAATTATTTATAATTAACAGGCAAGGGGTTGTTCTTAACCTGTAGTGTGTGGAGGCAATGAAAATGGTGCTCCTGGCTGGCAGGATCTGCTGAACTTGTGGATGTGAATTTTCAGCAGCTCATCCCAATGACTTAATGTGACCCTCTGGAAGCCAGTGGCAGTGTTTCCACAGGCTTTAGGAGGTGTTGTGGCAAAGCTCAGTGCTGAGCTTGCAGTGCTTTCCAAAGCACTGAAATATGGAAAAGGGGATAATTTGCTCTCTGAATCACCAGTTGTGTTGCTAGGGAGCAGAAGTTCCTAATGGAGGGGAAAAAAAGCACAGGAAAAATTTGAGTTTAACTTAGCAACAAGATTGTTGTGAGGAATTTAAAGATTCAATCTGACCTGGACAAAATCCTGAGCCTAAAATCCTTGTGCTGATACCTCAGTGTTGCCATTGCTGGGAGCACCTGTGGCTCCCATTAGCTTAGGGGAGGTTTGTGTGTGCTTAGCACTTCCCAGAACTTGGACCCTGATGCTTACACACATGTGTTGGATTTGCAGAGTCACTAATCTGGAAGGAAAAGAAATGTTGACTCCTCTGGTTCTTTTGGGTTTTGCTCAGGCCAGACATACTGAAAAAGAGTGGCTTTTCATGTAATATTACATCACTTCACCTGTTATTGTCATTCAGCAGCAGGGAATTCCACAGCATATGAAAATGAAAACCAATCTTTTAGAACTTATCCTGTCATTTAAGCCTAGCTCAGATCTGTTCTGCCTTTCTGTGGCTCTAAACTCCTAGGAGTGGATTGCTGCTGCTGGCTTGCTGCTTAAATGCCACTAACTTTCATAAAATAAATTCTTTTTATTAGCATATTTGTACTGCAACACTGAAGATTTGACCTGAAGATTGATTCCTGTCTTAGCTCCTCCCCTTGAAAATGCCCCTGAAAATTCATCTTCCTTTGCAGTCCAGCATAGGGATATTTC